CTTAAATCTTCATGGAGACCAAACCAGACCAAGTTACAGGTCAGATCTATGTAAAGGTGACCCCGCTCACAGTCAGAATGCCTGTTTTTATAGCTATTTTTGAACTATTAAACCACCTGTAATTGAATAAATGTAAGGTACACCTGCTTAATGTCATACTGTGGAACATTCCAACAAACAGACTAAAATGTTACACAGCGCACTTTTAAACCTAAACACGTGGGGAAAAATCTCTCAAGATCATTATTCACGTGTCCACAACCCAGTTCTATCTTCTGAGATCTTGAAGCAGTAGATTTCCCATCCCTATACTCAGAATAATTTCCCTTAACGTTTCATCCCAAAGCTTTATAATACTGTTCACAGACTTCTCCTTTACACTCCCCACTGCGATCACATGAAGATAATTACGTTCAGTTTGCCTGTACAGCGCACACTTTGAACCTCCGTGTATGTACCAGTCGGCGCGTGTTGGGTCAGGTTATTTACATAGAAGCCTCGCACCGCTACACGTGTTGGCGTTTGAACTCTCTGGTAACGGCGTTCCTTTGACGTCCGCCGCGATTGTAGAAAACAGCCGTTGTTCTTGCTCTATCACGGTCCACGCCTCGCCACGGTAACCATCAAAAACACCATCAGGGCTTTCAACTACAAAGGCTCCGTCAAAAGAACATACGAACAAAAGAACGTTCTCTTATCTCATCCGTGCATTTTTTGTCTTCATAGGATCCTTCATTTCTTCATGTTGGATAAAGAAAGAAATCCTACAGCTTTAGTAAAATGTTAGTCGTTAGGCGATGTATAGGCTGACAATGTTTTCGACAACAATGAACAGCATGGATTTCTCAAAAAATGTTATAAATTGTACGTATCAGATTGCTAGATGTTGGAGAAAGGTAAGTGTTCCTTTAACATCGGTAAAAGTTGGTAGTTAAACCTTTTTGACATTTACATGTATTTAAGTAACACTACATCAGGACCAGAAGGCGGGACGACATTACACCGATTTTAAAATCACGGCATTGGCTCCCTGTGAGTTTCAGGATCGATTTTAAAGTTATTTTACTGATTTTTAAATGTCTTAATGGTAGAGCCCGACCGATATGGATTTTGTTGTGGCCGATATGATACCGATATAATGGGAGTTGTCGCTGCCGATAGCCGATATAATCACCGATATATTTAGTGATGTAAAAATTCACTGTAAATCTTGAATTATTTTGCTCTGGTGGATTTTAAACTGGGTCTATTTAGGCAACATTTATTGTTATTCTGCCTCTTTTCGTGATATGTCATAGGACTAAAGCAGGTCTAAAGCAGGACTAAACCAGAACTGAACCAAGACTAAACCAGGACTGAAAAAGGACTAAAACAGGACTAAAACAGATCTAAACTATGTGTAAAACAGGACTAAACCAGAACTTAACCAGGACTGAGTGTCGGGACTCGATCTCTATCTCTCTCCCTCTCTCGACCCCAAGATTAGTCCTGGTTTATTTATTTTATGCTGAATATATTTATGCACGTTTTTTTTTTACCCTATGCACACGCATATTTTTGAAAGTTTAGTTTTTAGCCGCTACCGCTGTCAAACTGCCAAGAGTCTGCATGCCATGTGAAGAGAAAAAAAGTGAGAGAAAGAGAAAACACGACTCCCAATCCCAATAAGGATCAGGCTCCCGTCGTTCGCTTCAAAGAGCCGCTTCATTCGCATCACTACTAGCGAGTAAATAAACAATCGCTATTAGTCTTTAGCCGTAAATGCTGCGCACCGTGGTAATTAATTATATGCGCAAATTTCATGTTTCATACGTCTATTCACAGCTCATTTACATATCAATGCAGATCCAGTAACAAATATACGGCCAATACAGTCACTTTACAATAGACCAATAGAAAACAGTCTGTTTATGTGTGAGAGCTACAGCAGCTAATCGCTAACTAATCAGCTAGCTTCGAAGTCGACATATTATCAACACTCAGCGCTCACACAGGCTCCTCCTCACATCACAAGTCTGCACTAATAAAAGTCCTTTTAATCCAGACTCAAACGATTGTCCGTAAAAAGAATATAATCTCAGTGTTTGCGCGCATGGATCTATGTCTGCGGGTGTAAACAAACACACGTGACTCTGGGGGTGTGTTCAGGGACAGTATGGACACACACACTGACAAATGACTCCGCAGATAAATACTGACGCAGAGCCACATATCTGGACATTTATCTGTCTGTAAATTGGATTAAATGAACATAATGTAGAGAGTCTAAGATTTATAACGAGGTATAACATGCCCACGTGAAATATCAGCAAGCATATCGACCGATAATATCGGCCAGCCGATATATCGGTCGGGCTCTACTTAATGGTCTTGGGTCGTCTTATCTTTCAGAACTGCTTTTACCCTACGAGCCCTCGTGGAACCTGCACTCATCAGGTCATTCCCAAAGTCCTGGTCATTCCCAAAGTCATGACACACACTCACGGAGATACGTCTTTCCAGTACTACGGCCCTTGTCTATGAAATGGCCTTAGGCCTTAACCTCAGGGCCATAGAGAACGTGGCTCAAAACCCACCTTTTTAGCTTAGCTTTTGATTGAAATTTATACTTTTAAACTTTATTTTAGGCACTATTAGCTTTAACTCATATTCTCATGTTTCCTCTGGTCGAGCCCTCTGCACCAGGAGCGGTGGTCGGTCGGCTGCAGCTGCTGGGTCTGTCCCGTGGGCTCCTGGTGGAGGGTTAGTGTTTGGGCCTCATATCTCCCCTGGGCCCTGTGGTGGTTCCAGGTGGCGGTGGACGACTCTCTGCTCCTGGTGTAGACGGCTCCTCTGATGGTGTTTTCTCAACTGGTTCACCTGTATTCAGACTCACATTTTACTATGGGTAGTTTTTTGCATTTTAGCATGTTAGTGTGTGAGTGTGTGCGTGTGTGTGTCTGGGTTGTTTGGTTGTGTGAGGTCGGGTAGGTGTCGGCGCTGGGTTAGTGGGTGGAAGGAAATGAGGGATAGTTTTTTTTTATCACAGTAAAGCAATTTGTGTTACATTTTTGTATGAAAGGCACTTTATAAATAAAATCTAATTGATTGATTATTAGTCTGTCTACATCTCCCAAGCTCAAAATGCTCTGTTCCACCTTGTGATGATGAGTTTACCTTTAGTTTAGGCCAAGGGTCCGCAACCTTTTTCCTCTGGTGAGCTACCTTTATAAAACAAAAATGTCAAAGAGCTACTTATTTTAACAGTTGCAAGAAATGTAGTATATATAAGAGCCACACAGATTTAGATTGGGGACAGTTAGATGCCTATAAAATATAAACCACTATTCATTTATTAGTGCACAAAACTGGGTATTAAAATGGTAGATTTACAATGGTAATTAATCAAATTTTACTTATTCAGCCCAATACGTATAATTCTGAAATCCTTGGTGAGCTACTTGGAATGGAGTGGAGAGCTAAAGGTACTGGTGGACCCATGGCAATTTCAGGACTGAACTCACCCAAATGATTATAGTGAAGGTGGAGCACTTCCTGTATTACCACATGATATCACAAGGTGGAAAAGAAAGAAGAACTCAGTTGGAAGATGAAGGATTTCTGTGTTAAACATGTGTGAATGAAACAAAACACAGTTCTGAGTATCTTTTTGATGATGAAACATTATAACAGATCAGAAAATAGAGTACAATTCTTTAATTCTTCTTTGCCTGGGAACTTAAACTAAAAAGTAAAAAAAAAATTAAAGAAAGAACTGACTCAATGAACCAAATGTCAATTTATTTAATGTCAGCAAAAGGATAAAAACATTTGCACAATTCTGCTCCCTCAAAATAAATAATAAACTAACGGCTGCACATGTCGACATCCAATTTTAACAGAACGTCTGAAGCTGGAAAACCAAAAGTATCGTCACAATATGATTATCTTACAGAGAGTCCCTTACCACCAATAGACATACCATAACGTTAAGATCAATTCTGAAGGACACTATATTCTGCTCTGTGCCGACTACAGAAGCAAATGTCATTTACTTACAAACTGCCACTTCACCCAGTTAAGCACTGTCACTTCAGAAACAAATGATTATATTTTTCTACAGTCTATTTGCCATTAATCTGGCAATTGAGCTGTTCTGACCTTCAGCGAAGCATACCTCGACCCCGTCTGGTACAGAGAATTACAAGTGAGTCCTGACATTTCATAGCTCAGAAATCATACTTCTGACTTGGCGTTAGAGAGTAAAAAATAGACACACTTCACATTGAAATATAGGAAAAATGTTTTGTAAGGAAAGTAGAGATCCCTTTGTTTATGCAACTCATTATTGTCTCGTCACGTTGTCTTTAACGCGCTGACGGAGATTCAATGTTTAGTTGCGCTTTTCAAATGTAGTCCTTGAGTAACGAGGTCTGTGTTGAAATGTTTATGGCAAAAAAAAAAGCTGCTCTTCCCAAGCCTAGTCTCATCAAAGCAAAACGCTAAAGAAGAAATCATTAACATAGAAACCGTTGCCAGTACGAACAGTCAAGTGATTCGCCGCGGGAGACGCAGCACTTTATGACAAACTTGAGTTCTTTTTTTCTGAGCACAAAGATAGCAAAAGAACGCATCAAAAGCGAGATGCAAGGACAGGTACCTTCCCTCCCCCGTCCTCCCAGAAAACAGCTCTGACACAAATTCATTCAGCAGTCAATGGTTGGCCCGGAGCCCGATTCTGGAACCTTTAATGTCTTTCGCACACAAGGTTTCCTCCCCAGTCAAGCCACTTTTGAAGTCTGTGTCAAACTCGCCATGGTACGCTTTAGAAAAATCCATATGGGGCAGTAAACAAACCACAAGCTTTGAAGTCCGAGTCCTTCCCTTTCAGTATCTCTTGTGTTTGTCTTTGAATCTTCCCCTTCGATGCTCTAAGGCAGACAAATCATATTCCGACAATAAATTATTTTTTTTTCTTTTAGTTCGAGGAGTGTCGATATATAGAAAGCCACTAAAGGGCGCTATGAGAAAATACTCGCCCCATCGCTGTTGCCGTAAAGGTCAGCGAGCTTTTTGAAGCGAGGTCCCCAGTTGCTAAGATAATCATAGTTCTGATCCGAGTCCGTACTTAGTGACTCCAGAGAACTTAACGATTCCGCCACCGAACCACTACCTTCGAACGCGTACGTCTGCAAGGAGTCATACGGAGGGGCGGATGGGTCAACGTCGGCATCCTTAAGGCGGTCCCAGATGAACTCCCGGAAGACCACGTTGTCCGGGAGGGTTTTGTAGGAGGGGCGGGCGGCGGCGGGCTGGTAGTGGAAAAAGGTGGGCGTGTCCGGGGTGACGTCGCGGCGTACGCTGGGGTCCCTCATCACGTTGAGGTTGCGTAGGGTGACCATGTCGAAGGCCTCGGTGTCTTCCTCGCCGCCGCCCTCGTCGTCGTAGCGGACGATGTTCTCGCGGATGTCGCGCTCCTCGTCCAGGATCAGAGGCTCCTTCCGACGGCGACGCATCATCACGATCAGAAGAACCATCACTGGAGAGAAAAAAAGAGAGAGAAAGGGAGAGGATTAGGGAGGTTGGACAGAGGTGTACGGAGTGATGGAGAGGTATAAGGATCAATTTTTTTACTAAATCAACTTTAATAAGCTTTAATGGTGTTTCCTCATCACTGGCTTACACTAATCAGTACTTTGATTGATTCAGGCATGTTTGAGAAATTAAATTCATGTTTCCACCTACTCCCTACTCCTGCCCACTTTTCATAAATAAAATACATAAATTGTAGGGATGTAGTGATATCCAAATCTCTCGGTCATGATTTGCATCTCATCTCATCTACGATATTTATTGTGATATTTTGGAGAAGTTCATTTAATTGTAGACTGGACACTTTTTCCTTGACAAGAATTTGATGTGATTTAATTCCGTCATAATCCCAAGAAGTAAAAAACATATTTCTTCATGTTGTTTGGTGGGATATGTAGTTCCCTATAGTCATAAGCTGTTGTTACTATAAAACAATGCATTTAAGCAAAGGAACTTGTAATTCGATACATTGTGACAGCCCACGATATTATTGTGAGACTTTTGACGATACGATATCACGATATTTCAGTTATTGTTGCATCCCAAATAAATTGCAAAGCGTTGATTGCTGCACAAACATACCACTATGGAAATCGCTATTGGCAAGTCCTTCAACGGAAAAGTTTCACAGTGCACCTTTAGCTCACTTTTATCCTACTGCTTCATTGAGATTGGCTAATTGCAATGCTTTTCTCCATGAATGTTTTATATGCTAACTACTGGCCTTAAACTCACACGGTGCACTTTCCTCAGTACCATTTAGTTTGCAATTTGAAGTCGATTCATCCCTTGAATTTAAACTTGAATGTACAGCATGTCTATCCAATCAGCACGAGAAGCCGTTAAGTCTGCATCCATCTGTCCTGCGCCAAAGTAGAATCAACAGGCATTAGATTTCAGTAAGTATATGGAAGCTATACTAAGAACGACTGCCCGGGAAATATATGCATAGACATGTTCATAGTCTTACCACAATGCAGTGAAAAGAAAAGAAACAAAAATAGTGTCTGTTTTGTCTCAGAGCACGGAAATGCCACTTGTAATTAATTCTTTGTAGCACTGTTGTCCTTAGTTAATGAGTTAATCATCCAGTGACTTAAACAAACGTGGATTGTTTTCTTATTGTAATTAGCCCATTTTCTTATAAGCTCTTTACACAAGGCATGTTTTAGTAACTTTCCTGCCTATTGATCTCAACTTTAATTAGGGAATTGTTGTTTGGTCAGAGATGTGTAGAAATCTGATCTTATAATTCGGGATCATATTAGGAAAAAATATATTGCACAAAATTGCATTAAATCAGATTCATCGGTAGATTTTAATGGGACAATATGGTAGATTCAAAGGCGGTGTTTTCAAAATGCATTGATCTCTCATAAAAGATCAACCCTTAAAGGTGCAATTTGTTAGCCTGATTCATCAGCCTGTTTCCACGAAGTAAGTCACAGCATTAGGATTCGTTCACTCCACGGTAGGCAGGTACTTTTTTTAATTAACCAATCGTTGCTATTTGGTCGTGATGTATGTCATGTGCCAGAACGCTGTCCAAGTAATTGCTGGCACAACAGCAAACAAAGCAGAGTGTGAACACTTTTGTTAACCGTCATTATCATTTCAATGAGATGAACTTGTGCAGACATGTCAAACTCAGGCCCAGGGGCCAAATTTGGCCCGCGAGATCATATCAAATATGTATTAGAGCTGCCCGCCGGCTACAGGCTGTAGACACATAAGTTATTTTAAATGTTTTAGTTTTTTTTAAATATTATGCTTGTTCTGGATTCAATGTTTAAGCAAAACTATTATTAAACATTTATTTTAATAAGAAAAGGTTTAACATTACATATCTCGAAAGAAGAGAAAACATGCAGATGTTGTTGACATTTTTCAGTAAGTATCTAGTTTGGCCCATGACTTAGTCCCAGTTTTTAATTTTGGCCTCTGTGAATTTGAGTGTGACACCCCTGGTCTAGTGTATTCCGATTCTTGACCTAGTCGCTGGAGAGAAATGAAATTGAGCAGAGGCACTAGGTGGCGCCAGCCTGGGTAGCAATTTGTAACTTTTCTGGTGCTTTACTATTTGGCTGGAATGTTCCACAGTATGGCCTTAAATTATCTATCTCCATGGAGACAATTAGGTGACACCACCAGGTCATGTTATGGGTGAAGTCTATGGAGAATTTATCTTGCTAATGTTTTTCAAAGTATTTCTGCGCAATTAAAAAAAAAAAAGAAAATTAACGAATGTATGATAGATTAGCTTAATGCCATACTGTGGAACATTCTGGACAACGCAATAGAATCTCCATGGAGACAAGCAGATGGCAGACCCTCCACCAGAAAAATGACACAGTGCACCTTTTAACGGACTGTACAGAAGGAACTGTTGATATCTAATTCTAAGCCTGATTTATAAGTTACAACTCCGAAAACATTTCAATCAATTTTGAGTTGTAGTTTACTCAAGTACCAAACAAGATATCCAGATTTGTATCTAATATGTCAACAAAAGCCTGATTTACAGAATTACCTTCAAATTGATATATCTAAATGTTAGATGTTTTTTTCCCTTTTCACTTGCAAGGCCTCTCCTTTATTGCCACATTTAAGTATATTTATTACTGAGAACTAAAAACTCAATCAGTTAATGTCACCCTACAAGTCATTACTCCCACTATTTAAAGGTGCACATTTCTAGTGGATAGTCCGCCACCTGCTTGTATCCATAGGAAATGTCATTGCTTTCTCTAAAATGTTCCAGAGTATAGATTAAATCTATCTGTATGCAACGTTACAGTTCAGATCTGTGAAGAGTCGCCACAATTCACAGAAGGAATTGTTGTGTTTTGGAACAATATAAATGTTCGTAATGAGACCCTCCACCAGAAAAGTTACACAGTGCACCTTTGACAACATTTTGAAGGATTAAATTTGATTTGAAAATTTTTGTACCAATTTCCAACTATACTCAAATACCATTTTTGGACATTTTTACACACTAAATGCCTTCCTTATTTATCCCAAAAACGATAATGTGATGAAAAACTATTTTTTAATTAAACTTTTTTGTTTAAAAGAACCTTCAAACTGACATCTCTAATTCAAGATTTTTCCAATTCCCTTCAGGGTTCAGTATGTTTTAGCATTACTCGGTACTAAAAAATCACAAATCAGTCAACCTAAACCAACTACGTGAAGCATCAAGACTCTCAAAAACTTCCAACCAAACTTTTCCTCCTTTGAAATCTTTCTTAACCCCTGTCCAGCTCTCGTTCTCTCCCCCATACATTACATCTGAAAATAACTCCACGCCCAAGCAAACTGGCAAATGTCTAATGATCCTCTATCCATCAATGTCAGCCCTGTGCTGGTGAAATATCGCTCCGTGGACCCATATATTTCCTCCAGCTTTTGCGGCGTTCGGATGGGCTGCCGCGGAGAGTGGGACCAGGCACCCAACTCAAACACTGCGCGGCGTCTAATGAGAGAGCAAATGGTACAGAGGCAAGTGTCAGACGGAAAAGGTTGGTGGAGATGAATGGGGAGTCCTGTTTGCTAGTCCTCACAATAGCCGCTGTGGTATTGTGTCTTGTCAAACAAACCATAAAAAAGCTGGTTCAGAAAAAGTTCGGGTGATGTTTAAAAAGTGGAATGGTGTAAAGGAGAAAGGTGTGGTAGTGGTGCAGTTGGGTCAGTGTTTGGCTACTAACTGAAGGGCTGCTTGTTCAAATCTTGAGTTGTTGTGTTCATGAGCAAAACACATAACCCACATTGTAACACCGGCCTTACAATATGCAGATGGTTGTCATGGAAATTGCAGTTCTATTTACTTTTTTGTTGAGCCAAAAATCACAACAGCATAGGGTTTCACAAAGCTGTTGCTTCAACCAACAGGAAGTTAAACAATTAAATGATGAAACAGTTGGAACACTAATCATATTAAACGAGGCAACTCAGAAAGAATGGAAAAAGGAAGCAATTTAAACTTGCATATATGCTGGAGCTCTAACACTGAAGTGAACCAGTGAAACTAACCGTCTTTTAAATCCCTTCACTTTGTTACTCTAGGTTTGCACTCTTTACTCCAACTCTTTACTTCACTCTTGTAAGTTAGTTCAGTCGAACTGTGCCCAAGCACAAATAGCCCCAAAGCTGGGCCAAAGCACGGCATGGTTGCTCATGTACATGCACACGCACGATGAGCTCTGTCAGGTGCATAAATGTTACTCATAGGAGGAAAAACTCACGGCGAATCTGCACTTAAGAACTCATATCTTCCTCATTATTTAGTCAGAGGTAAATATTTAGTGAGATATTTTATGTCACTGGACTTTTTATTTTATTTTATTTTCTCCATTAAAGTAATAGCTTTACTGTGTGACATGTAAATAAATAGCGTGTGTGTGGACCATACAACTAAACGCAATAGGCTCTATTCATGCTTACGTCACAAACCAGGAAGACGTCTGGAAAGATGCGATTACAATTTCTGGTGTAATTATCAACACTGGGCACGCCTACCGACAACTTGCCAGGCTGGCGCCACCTAGTGCTCAATTTAATTTCTCTCGAGCGACTAGGTCAGGAATTGGAATACACTAAAAACACCATGCGAGTCCGGGCACCAGCCAATCAGCAAAGAGCCATACATTCTGTTTTGGCAACGATTCCTCAGATCGAGGATTTAAAGCCGGAACAAAGAGAATGTTTGGTGAATTTTATCATGGAGAAAGACGTTATTCCTACATTATTCCTTCCTACGGGATTTGGGAAAATCTTAATATACCAGTTAGCCCCGTTAGTGCATTACATACGTCACGACCAAATAGCAGTGAATGGTGAAATAAAAAAAAATTAAAAAAGTACCTGTCTGCAGTCGAGCAAATGAATTCTAATGCTGTGAGGTCAGACGGTTTCCACGAAGTGAAACCGACTGATGAATCAGGA